TATGCTGCATGGGAGCAGCATGAGCAGATGTTGATGTATTCCATACAGCCAAAGAGAAATGAAGTCAATCTTTTAACTACAGCTGCTTGATGAGGTAACAGAAGGAGTGAGGTGTGACGGCTGATGAGCCAAGGCTGTTTTAAATAGCTGCTTACTGACTGTTGGTCATAATAACAGAGGAACTTTGCTCTCAGCTGATAGTCAAATGATACCCATTTTCTGTCACTGTACAACCGCTGAGAGGCCATTAGGGTAGTCTATAACTCTATGGCTGACAACACAGCCAGTACTGTGTGTTCGCCATGCTGTAGTGGTGTCCAAATGCTGAGTGTGTAAATCTATCCACTATAATAGTGCACTCAAAAACTCCACAATAGAACATAAAAGTAGTGTACATGGAATGCGTCGGCAAACCTGTAAAAACGGGTACACTACTACAAATGTACACTACTTTCTGCTAACAATCCCTCAATGCAACATGGGAAAATTACCCCTGCACAGTTCTTCAGATGTTAGCAATGATGCGGAATAATAATGAGTAGGTGTCCAAAATCTCAATTTACCGCTTACTGCTGAGTGATCTACTCAATGTACGTTATACAGGGAGTAGTGCATGACCGACTGGAGAGCGATTTCAGACACAACTAAAGTGTGGCAGAGATGTACAGTATGTCATTATTAGTGCTGAGTGCAAAGGCTAGAGTGCCAGCTGAACGCTACCATTACTCCTAATCTTCAACAGTAGATACTAGTGATGTTTTAACAAATGCAGACTGACACTTACTTGCTCTGAGGGTGAAGAGGGCAAAGGGATTGATCCCAACTCTTTCAGGTGCTTGTTTGTATCTTTTGCCAGTTGGTTAGTATAATGTTGCATCTGCTGCCTGTGGAAACACCAACAGCTTGTCATAAGTGAGTTGCAATACAGTACAATCCTCTTCTAGTACATGTGTAATGTAAGTGAAAACCTAAAATTGTGCTGACATGCCTTCTGGATGACAATACTGTGCGCTTTAAATAAAACATTCTCTGTGTCACTGTGTCAGTAAGCATGGAGGCAAACTTTAATTTAGACAGTTTATTAACTATTCTAGTATAATGGCTCTGCCGATGTAGCTGTTCATAACTGGCCAAGGTGACTAGCCAAAAATGTGTTTGGGAGTGAACGTAGTAATAAAGATTATAGGAGTAACTTGATACATACAAACGATCCTGGAGTTCACTGGTGTCCTGTCTGGTCCCCAGCTGATTCACCATGCTCTTGATCTGAGCAGCTGTCAGGAGAATAAGACATATGAAGGTGGGTTTCTATTCACTAGTGTTTATAGACAATTTCAGTTTGGCTGGGATGTAAAAGATGGTGTACCAAAAAGCAAAACACAACAGTGCAGACTTAGATAATTAATCATGACTTGACTTAAATATTATTAAGGGAAAACAAAATCCAAAACTACAAAGCCCTGTGTGAATAAGTGTTTGCCCCCTAAACCTAATAACTGGTTGGGCCACCCTTAGCAGCAACAACTGCAATCAAGCGTTTTCGATAACTTGCCATGAGTCTTTTACAGCGCTGTGGAGGAATTTTGGCCCACTCATCTTTGCAGAATTGTTGTAAGTCAGCCACATTGGAGGGTTTTCGGGCATGAACTGCCTTTTTAAGGTCATGCCACAGCATCTCAATTGGATTCAGGTCAGGACTTTGACTAGGCCACTCCAAAGTCTTCATTTTGTTTTTCTTCAGCCATTCAGAAGTGGACTTGCTGGTGTGCTTTGGATCATTGTCCTGCTGCAGAACCCAAGTTCGCTTCAGCTTGAGGTCACAAACGGATGGCCGGACATTCTCCTTCAGGATATTTTGGTACACAGCAGAATTCATGGTTCCATTTATCACAGCAAGTCTTCCAGGGCCTGAAGCAGCAAAACAGCCCCAGACCATCACACTACCACCACCATATTTTACTGTTGGTATGATGTTCTTTTTCTGAAATGCGGTGTTACTTTTACGCCACACATAATGGGACACACACCTTCCAAAAAGTTCAACTTTTGTCTCGTCTGTCCACAGAGTATTATCCCAAAAGTCTTGGGGATCATCAAGATGTTTTCTGGCAAAACTGAGACGAGCCTTTATGTTCTTTTTGCTCAGCAGTGGTTTTCGTCTTGGAACTCTGCCATGCAAACCATTTTTGCCCAGTCTCTTTCTTATGGTGGAGTCATGAACACTCACCTTAACTGAGGCAAGTGAGGCCTGCAGTTCTTTGGATGTTGTTGTGGGGTCTTTTGTGACCTCTTGGATGAGTTGTCGCTGCGCTCTTGGGGTAATTTTGGTCTGCCGGCCACTCCTGGGAAGGTTCTCCACTGTTCCATGTTTTCGCCATTTGTGGATAATGGCTCTCACTGTGGTTCGCTGCAGTCCCCAAGCTTTAGAAATGGCTTTATAACCTTTTCCGGACTGATAGAGCTCCATTATTGTCTTTCTCATTTGTTTTTGAATTTCTTTGGATCTCGGCATGATGTCTAGCTTTTGATGATCTTTTGGTCTACTTCACTTTGTCAGGCAGGTCCTATTTAAGTGATTTCTTGATTGCGAACAGGTGTGGCAGTAATCAGGCCTGGGTGTGGCTAGAGAAATTGAACTCAGGTGCGATAAACCAGTGTTTTGACAGGGGGGCAAACACTTGTTCACACAGGGCTATATAGTTTTGGATTTTGTTTTCCCTTAATAATAAAAACCTTCATTTAAAAACTGCATGATGTGTTGACTTGTGTTATCTTTGACTAATATATAAATTTGTTTGACAATCTGAAACATTACAGTGTGACAAACATGCAAAAAGATAAGAAATCAGTAAGGGGGCAAACACTTTTTCACACCACTGTATCTAATAACAAGACTCTCAAAATATAACCCATCTAAAGATGATTTAGAAATATATATTTTTGCATATAATTTGATATCCAGCTGTATTCAACAACCATACAGTTCATAATACTGTTGCAAACACCATTTTATGGTTTTAAATATATGTAACCAGCTATCTGAAAATAAGGCACATTTATTTAAATTCAAAGACTGAAAGAAAGTGCAGACAATGTAGAAGAACATATTTGTGTTGTGTTTGGTAAAGTCAGTTCAAGTTCGGATGTATCATCAGTACAAATGCTTCTTCCTAAACTAGGACCAACATTTACAAAAAACCTGTTAAACTTATCTACTGCATCCTCCATTCTGTTGACCGGTGTATCATTATCTATAAAATATTGAGGGTAGTTACTCTTGCTGTGCTGGGACTATTTCTAATCAAATTATTTAATATATTCCAAGTACCTCTCATGTTATTTTTATTATCCTCTAATACTTTAGAATAATATTGTTTCTTACATCTCCTCAAAATCTCAATTAATTTGTTCTTATACGACTTATATTTTTCTTCCGCCTTCTTTGATCTGTCCTTTATGAAATCTTTATATAACGCATTCTTCTTTTTACATGCATTCTGTAACATCCAATGACAAGACAAAATAATAGCAGTAGACCAAAAGAGATGTGTTTTGAGCAATAAAGAAATTGCAATGTAGATGAATACTGTACATGACACAAACAGGTAAAGTCATTTGAGGCTTGACTGGTGCTCTTATATTTACATCATCTTGTTGCACCCTATTCTTCTACAACGGTTTCATGGCACCCAGCTAGAAAATTAGTACCACCAGCTGAGTATTTCAATTAACTCTTACTATTCACATGACAGTAGTGGATGGAAACAAGCACTCATTCACTTTTTTTTTTGGCAAGTTTCTCAGAATTTGGTTTAAACAGCCCATGACATGCTTTTCCTTGTTTTCTGACTTATCTACAATGTTACAACGGTGAATTTTCATCTTAGACGTATAGCTCAAACAATGAGGTGTACATACGGTACATATACCGTTGTTACCTAGCTATGGAGGCGAAAGTCAGATTAATTAATGCTGTCCACTTTCGACACAACACCGGCAGCAGGAGGCGTGCACATTCACAAACTATCCTCTCGTTTTTAGGAAGAGGCTCTCTGGTTTTGTCCTTCCAAAATAATTACAGACTATTTAGAGTCATGTGCCAAGCTAATCTAGAGGTACCCAAGATTAAACATTAAATGGCTGGAAATGAGCATGCCATGGGCTCTTTTAGTATGAACATTCCTGTTAGTTTACTGTTCCAGTGACAGTCATAATAATCCAAATGTCCACCACAAACTGAGACTGAGCCCTTGGGCACTATGTTCACGCACAGCATGTTGTGTTCACTGGCCCAACATAGTCAAAGTAAAAACAACAAAACTACTAGCAACCTAAATAATAATTTGAAAATTCAGTGAAATCTCACATTGATAGTGCAAATGTTTCTCTGCCTAAAAAAACAGTGAGGTTTGGCACAATGATGCAGACTGCACGGTGACACAGCATACTCTATGCTGATACAGCTGGTGAGTCTTTATTTGGCTGCATCTAACTCACACTGTAAAAAAAAAAAGAGCTACTGGTACAGCAGTGAAGCACTTACTGTTCTGTGTGATCTTCTGTATATTGGAGCTGCATGTTTGTAAGAGGGTGCTGAAGTCCCGAGGGACAGGACGGTAGCTCTCTGCCTTGCCGTATGACATGTCTGCTGGAATGAGCTTGTGATTTTTGGCTGCAGACAAACAGAATAGAATGATGTTTTATTTGTTCTTTAATAATCACTATATCTACTATATGGGTTTAAATAAAAACAACAGTGACAATGATCATGAGGGCCCAAGATTGACCACTTGTCCAAAGAGCAACAATTCAGCTGCATTTTTTTACACTATGGCAGCGTGGGTCAGTCACTCGTACTATATCTTTCACATTCCACATACAATCCCGAAATCGGGAACTTGTTTAACTGCTAACGCTAACTCGGCTCAATAACACCTTAGCATGATAATACTGAATCATTCAAGCAGGTCGAAATAAGAACAAGTAAGGCGTGTGATATGTGCTGTACAATAATGCGAACGGCTTGTTAACATGAAATGTATCTTCCTCAGTTTAGCTACCGAAAGTTAAGGTATACAGATTTAACCTAAGTTCGGCTGTTAGCTTTCTAGTTAGCTAGCTGATGCTAAATTTTCATCTTTCAATTGTTAAGGATAATCTGGCTATAATGAAACAGCCAACCATGTTCTTAACTGATAAAGATTGAGAAAACTGTAATATTGACAATATCACAAAAGCGTCTAATATAAAAAACAATGTACTACCTGCTTTTTGGCTATTTAAAACGAACACACAGGCGTAATAATTTTCGTCTTGCTGTCAAAATACTGCCCTTCCTGGTCCGTGACGTTATCACGTAACGTCACGCAGTGTGAGAAGCCAATACTTTAAGAGAACCTTCCTGCAGCTACAACTGCGATTTAAGGCAGTGTAAACTTACCAAGGTGTATTATTGCCCTCCGCAGGTAAATATTACACTAGTTTAATATCCGTTCATATCTTGAGTATAATCCTGTATTTTGCAAAAACCGAATAACTGCCCTTGTAATCAAATGGTTGTTCTCATGTTTCCCAAGCAATGTTGTAACTGAAAAACAAGAAATTCCTAAATCTGTTTTTTTTTAATACTTTATGACCGGGAGTTGTCAAGCTTGTTTATTGTTAAAATAACTAATAACTTAATTTGTTAATGCTGCATTAACTAGGATTTAGCACAAATTTGGATGAATCAAGTAAAAAAAAAACATCTAGTGTTGCTTTCCTGCTGTACTAAACCTCCTCACCCCACTCTGCTGTCTTCAGGCTTTGTGTTTATTTCTATTGTAGTGGCTAAAAATAAACAAGGCTCCAGAGGTAACAGTATGTACTTCATATATAGATATTATTTGTAATAGTTATGTAAGGCTGAGCTAAGTGTTTACGGAAGCTTGATCTGTTTCTTGTGCAAGCAAGAATATCTTGGGCTGGATCCCCCTTTTTTAACCCATGGGTATTATGTGAACTGTTCGTGTGATCTGTTCAGGTTTAGAAAAAGGAAATGTGCGCTAGGTCAATGCGACCTAGAAGTTCATGTACTGGACATTTTAGACAATGCTCAGAAGAAGGTGTGTGTGGAGCTGGCATGAGACTGCGTCTCTGGCTTAGGCCATGGAAGGCTGTGTAGGTGCGAGCAGATAAAAGGCTAGGAGAGCTGGGTTAGAGCAGAAGAAGAGAGAGAGAATGCTACTGGGACAGTAAACCGTGTGCTTTTTGGGGGACCCGGCCGGGGGAAGACTGACAACTGACTGTGGGTTGACAGAAAGACTGACTCGTGACCAACAACAACTGACTGGACTGACGCTTTTGGCAATCTTCTTATTTAATGCTTTAGCTATCACATTGCAGGAGGAGAATCCCTGTTCTCTGTTTCCCTAACTACAAGATTATCTGTTTAAATACTACTCTATTCAGAATAATTGTAATATTAAATGATCATTTAAATTGGGATGGTTTGTCTGAATTAATTTAGGCGGCATCACACTCTAGCCACGACACCATCCCTCTCTGGGCAGTGTTGTTAAAATCTGCACTGCACTTCTTCTACGCCCCGGTAATCCGAGGTTATAAGATGCCATTTTCAAAACAGTATGGCTCATTTCAAAGGGTCACTGCAGAGGGTCCCTGTGCAGGTATAACCCAAAAACCTGCACTACAAAAGTGGGGAGTTTGTTCAACTATCAAAGCCTCACATGAAATTTCCCTTGTTTCACATACATTTCACAGTTATGTGTGTCAAGTATGTAACACTGAACATGATGTGATAGTGGCCAGAACATTAGTACTGTATAAATATTGCTGGGGAAAATCCTCTGTATAATTTGTTGTGTTACTGCAGATATATCCTCTACAAACAATGTTAGACATACATATGCATATAGCTAAAATGTAAAACTTATTTGACATTGTGTCACTGCAATGCCACTGAAAACCATGGGCTCTATATTCCATATACATATAGCCTGTTATTACTGCTGCACCACCTGACTGCCACAGCTGTCTCCGGCCATCATGACCACAAATGATGTAGTTTCAAAGAGGGGCAGGAGGAACAATGAGGAGAGGATACTGCTTGAGTTTGTTTTGACTGTCACTTCGCCCTTATGGGTCGGAAATTAGATGGAGAAGTTAATTAATTCAGCTGTAAAGTCAACATACAGTAAATGTAGTGTCAGGGCTAAACAAGACCATTTAAAGTCAATATATACAAATAGGTACATCAAAAAAGAAACAGTAGCCTACACAAAAAGGTAAATAAAAAGGTACAGGTTAAGCAATATAATATATACAGTTTTATTGGTATTTAAGAATAAAATAAAATAATTAAAAGAAAAACTTTTATGATCATTTAGGATAAAGCCAAATAGCCATAAAACATCTTTAGAAGTGTCTTGCAAAGCATCGAGAGTTCTGAAACTAGTTGTGCACAAAAATCACATATATACCACAATCACTAATATCTAGTTGTTTAACAGCAAAGTGTACACATAGTGGAAATATTCTGGAGCACAATATAGACCAAAATACTCCCTCCCACACACAGGCTAAAATGAGTTACAGTATGTCCATTTATTGCCCCAGTGCTGGGGCCCTTCCCTTTCATGTAACTCAGCAGTCACATGAATGTCACAACTCTCTACTTATTTTGCTTGTAAGACAGTGCTGTTATTCAAGATAACTTCATTCAGGATTAAGATATTGCATCCAGGGAACCAAATTACCTGGTTATGATTAAACTGAATTTATTTAGCATAGTAACAGCATGTTAGCCTCAATTAGTTAAACTACATTTGAAGAAGTGGGCCTAGGGCTATGTTCAGGCCAGGCATGTTCTTCAGCAACAAAGTGGAAACACAATTTCTTTACAGATCTGGCTTTTAAACCAAATTCCAAATGTTGTCCCCAAAGGTTTAGTTAAATGGCCATATATTTAAACTATACAACAAGCACTTTATTGGGTACTCCTGTGTCATTGAATGCAGTCCCTGCCATAGCATCTATCTATATGAAGTTTACTGTGGCTTAGTTTTTGATGAAACTGTCAGAAGAGTATGAATTCAGTTGTATATTTATTGTTGAGATCATAAATGGTGCTGTCCTGGACTGCATTATATTGTGGCATTCCTAATATTGTGACCCCCTCGTGAATGTAAATGTAGGGCAAAAATATAAAGACGCCTGTGTGTCTCACGCGAACGCGTTTATGCGTGTGTTCTTGTACTCGCTACATAGTGAGGACTAAAAAGTATTTTTTGCTACAGAGTGAGGACATTTTGGCCAGTCCTCACTTTCTGAAACACATTTTTGAGGATTAGGACTTTTAGGGTTCAGGTTAGTATTAGGCTTAGGTGTTCGGGTAGGGCTAGGGAATACATTACTGTATGTAGGTGAGTGTCCTCACAGAGACAGAAGTGATTGTGTGACTAGTGTGTAGATTGATATGTTTTATCTAGTGTTAGGTAATTTCTTAGTTAGATAGATATGGATTAGAGATCTGTTGTATTAGAAGATGTTTAGTGTAGCCAGGATGTCTCCTCAGGATGTTAAATGCAAGGTTGGTTAAGGCAGAAGGGCTCAAGTCAGGGACAAATGTTATTATGACGGTAAAAGTAACCATAATATTTGTCTTAATGTGTAATGTTATGTCAAATTGTTTTAGATACACACCACGAAAACAACAGCCACACACATTATTTTCTTCATGTTTGGTCTACTGCTCTGCTCAGCTGCCAAGCTGGCATATCAGGTGACGTCACGGTTCGACAGCCCAGAAAGGATTAATATTGTATAGCAATGCTTGGTTCGGGGTCTTTCTGCTTCTGGGCTGCTTTGGCAGCCTGGGGGTTGGAAGATCTCTGGACTGGAAGTGTGGATTCTTGCCTGTGACTCTTTGAATAAACCAGCACGGTTATATTTTTTATATACTCAAGTGGTCTGAGTCGTCCCTCTGAGTTCCTGGTTTGAAAGAACCGGATGAGGCTTTATAATGGAACAGAAGCCTTTACTAGCATGTCAGGGCTTGTAGCTGTCAGTCACCCACTCTGTCCCTCAATGGTTTCAAGTTTCCCAGTGAAACCAGATCCTGATATGAGAGGTGTGGCACCTCAGGAGAGAGTATGTTGTCACAGATTTGATTATTCACACTGTGGGTCATTCAGCTTTGGAAACTCTCCTTATTGATCTCTGATACCAAGAAGAACTCCAGATATTTAGCCTTCTGTTTGCATTAAAAGTTTTGTAGCTCAGTGGTATTAGCTGGCAATAGACATCAGTTTGTTTATCCATTTGGTATTTGAGCCATATATTCCTGAAGAGCTGGAGCCTGCACCAACACTGGACAGACAGAGTACACTGGGCAGAAAAAACACACTGCTGGACTATGGGGGGATAAAACTGCATCCCTTTAGTGTGTTTATGAATCAGATTAGGGTGTATCATTTGGTTGACAAATTTAACTTGTAATGTCAAAATCCCAGACTGGACAGCAAATGTCTCCCTGAAAGGCACATGGATATTCCTCCTTTTCAGGAGAGAAGTGGCTGTTGCTGCATATGGTTCTCAATCTTTTTGGTTTGCTTCCCAAAGGATCGCTATTCGCAACATGTCATTACAGGTTTCATACTTCTACCTTTACAACACTGTGACCTCTAAAATTTTCATTTGAATATTCATTATTTTAGGAAAAAAGCAATGCCTTTAAAACTGTATATAAATGCATGCAACTAAACAGTGTTTTTTTCTTTCCTATCCTATTATTCATCTTATGGCCTCTTAGATTAATGTTCTAGCACACTGACACACTGAAAGGGTCCTGGACTGGAATCAACATGGCTTCCAAAAAGCTAATAATGTGCTACTGATAATCTTTTGATGGAGAGGAGTTATGTTGGGGCATGTCCCAACTGCACTGCATTTTATGAACCACCAGATGGCACTCCAAGACTGTCATTGACTCAGCACTTTGAGCTCCCATTGACTTGTATTGCAAAATATAAAGCTGAATAGATTAAAAAGTATAAATGTTATAAAAAGTTGAGTACAAGCAGGGATGCCCTTCAAGAGTTGAACACACAATAAATAAAGAACAGGAGAGCATAGTTATTATACAATTATATAGAGAAGTCTTTATTTTAGAGAACTCAGCTTTCTTCGTCACTTTTCTCTGTGTTGCCACCATGCCACTTTCAGGAGGCTCCGTATTTCAGGCTTCACTTAGCCACGGAGTCATGATGTTTTTAATTAATTACTCTGACTGGCTTTTTTACTCGTGTGAATCCTGAAACCACCAAGCTGGAGACGCATACTGTATATATAATATATAGACATATTGCACATAGAGTTATAAGCATAGGTTGACTTAGTCTGAGTATCCTCACCTGAGTGAACTTTCACCTCACCTTACAGCTGTTTTCTTCTATGCCTTTCTTCAACGTGTCTCCGTGCTCATTTCAGGAGGCACCCCACTAAGCCACAGCCTGTCCCAATCTTAGCTTATCAGCTGTTTACAGCCTAGAATAGACTGTTGGGAAATTTTGTGATCCTCAGTCTTCGATTGTGCCCCTGGCATCCTGACTCCCCTTGCCATAACGTCATACCTCACTAGGCAGTTAGCATTAAGGGCCTTGCCTAAGGACCCACAGCTGGAATTTGCACCATGAAAGGGAACTGAACCTCGAGCCTTCCGCAGCAAAGTCAGTGGTGTGAACCACCGGCTATCCACCAGCTGCATAGGCCTACCTTTAGAACTTTTACTGGTTTCTGTTATTGGTTAAAGCAGCTTAGCAATGTAAAGGAGGTGTTTGATTTGATGGAAACCATCTCCCTGCTCCTATCACAGGGCAGTCCCACACTTTACTATGATGACATTAAAACATACATAATGGCACACATTTATCAGAAGACATGCTCTATTTGTTTGATATAAAAAAAGAATCAAGGTTCTCTGGTAACCATGTTGTGTATGTCAAACAGCACACTCAGTCCTTAACCCTATCAAAGCGACATGAAGACTTTCTAGGAAAAAGTTGTTGACAGATGCCTAAAATAACACAGCAATATAATCTCAAGATGTATAAATTAAACATAATCGTAAAGACACATTACACACCTTTAAATGGTGTAATCTTCAAATGGTGTCAGGTGGAAGGGAACAAAATAACCAAAATATGTTACAATATGTACTGACAACAAACTACCACCATAAGACCTCAGAGATGAATCAACATCTCTGCCAGTAACAACTGAAAACTGTAAGCTTCACAAAAGTAGTATTTACAATTTAGAGCATAGATGTTAATGCAGTCCTGCTGCTTTATGCACAGACCTTACAACAGTGTTTTATCACATTTTCAGACATTATTTTTGAGAAAAAAAATTAATGCTGAACATTTTAGTAAAAAGGAAAAAAAGCCAAATTTCCACTGACTTTGAGGAGTTTCTTTTTATTGCAAAAGCTTTCTACATATTTAATGTGATTTATTTATGCAAATTTATTTTACTCACAACACAAATTAGACACACAACAAAACCTCAGAGAACATCTTCAAATGTGAGTATTCATCCACTTGCAGCCACTTCAAAAGGGTAGTGCTGGGGGAAGTCATGGATGACCTTCAGGGCTTCATTATACAGCTCCAAGTCTGCGGGACAAACAGAATGTACTGGACCTCAACTGATGAATGACACATTACAGCTGCTTTATCTGTTCATAAAGTAGGACCTACCAAACGGAACGCCCCTGTCCTCTCTTAGGATGTTGTATGTTGTGGCCATTATTGCTCCTTTGTTGGACACCATGCCTATCACCTCCACAATGCCACTCAGCTCTTCATCAAGCTGAGAAGAAAACAAACAAAAGGATTCTTGTTCTTATTGTTGACTATAAAAAAAAGCTTTCTTGTGACATAGTTTGCACCTTTCATACAACCCCAAATCAGAAAAAGATGGGACGGCATGTAAAATCATAATTAAAACGGAAAATATTTAATTTTATTTTATACACACCATCCCAACTTTGTCTAATTTAGGGCTGTAAATAGGTATGTCAAGTATCTTGTTAGGTTAACATTTTTCTATACTGTTGGGCAGTTAAATCCCTAACTAGACATATTTTATAGACTGCTTTGGTAAACAACTTTTTCCTTGCTCAGTTTTACTCTTTTCCTCTGTTTAACATAAAGGACAGGAGAAATGCACAACTACATAAAAGTGGAAAATGCAAAGGTTTAAGTACTCTAAGCACAAATGCATTGGTCCAGCATACGAGTCAGATCATAGGACTTTGATGAATCACTACAAACTTTTTGTCATAAAACAAAAGTCAACTGACTGGGGTCCAATAGCAATGCAGTAATACACTGACATGTGCTGAGCTCTATACGAAGGTTGTTACAGTATGTGTATGTGCTCCTTGCAAACCAATTTCCCTTGAGGATAATAAAGTTAAGTAAGAAGGCTGAGTTCATCTTTGTATGTATCAAAGACTGAGCTCACAGCTGGTCTGCTGCACAAACTCACGTTTGTTCTGGTAACTGCTGTGGTTTTGTTAATTCTCTTTAACATACCACTCTTCATATAAAAAGACAACCTGTCAGAGCACTCACATTAACTGCGTTACATTGTTTTAAACTTATTACCATACTGTAAATATCCATGGATACACCTTAGTGTAGTTTTATTTAGATTATCCATCTGACTTGCATTAATGTACAGTGTAGCACAGTAAATTACATATTTACATTAATGTCTAGTTCATTTTAGGCTTTTTTAAAATTTTATTCGGGTTTACACATTTTAAGCTTTTTTTGTAGCTTCATATCCGATATTTGATATACAGTGTGCAGGGAGCAATTAATTACTGTGAAGTTATGTATGTCACAGGTTTATCTTCAGTCCCCTAAAAGTCATAGAAAGCCTACTCCATATTTAACAGGCCTGCATATTCATCTAAACAAGGGTTATGAAAAAAAAAACAAACAAAATGGATTGTTTTCCTTATTATGGAAAAACTATTATTGTGTGGATGCTGTAAAGCAGCATACTGTAGTGTATGTACTGTACTGTACTGTAAAGCAGCTGTAAATCCAGCATACTTTCAGCTATACAGGCCATTGAGGTCTTGATCTGTTCAACTCTCCAAGGACATCCCTGCTTGTACTCAACTTTTTTTTTATAACATATATACTTTTTTTAAATAACATTTATACTTTTTAATCTATTCAGCTTTATATTTTGCGATACAAGTCAATGGGAGCTCAAAGTGCCGAGTCAATGACACAGTCTTGGAGTGCCATCTGGTGGTTCATAAAATGCGGCGCAACTGGGACATGCCCCAACCCCAACACAACTCCTCTGTCTCTCTACCCCCCCCACACACACACATACACACGTTCACACCTACTTGTTTAACCTTATTTTACCACTTTGCCGTTTAAATGAATGGGAAATTCTACACTCAGCATACTTTCAGGTATCAAAATGTTCAGCTCTTCAAGGACATTCATGCTTCTAATCAGACATTTTCTAAACTTTATACTTTAGAAATATTTAGCTTTATGTTGATAGTTTTGTCCCGTTTAAATGAATGGGAAATTCTACACTCAGCATACTTTCAGGTATCAAAATGTTCAGCTCTTCAAGGACATTCATGCTTCTAATCAGACATTTTCTAAACTTTATACTTTAGAAATATTTAGCTTTATGTTGATAGTTTTGTCCCGTTTAAATGAATGGGAAATTCTACACTCAGCATACTTTCAGGTATCAAAATGTTCAGCTCTTCAAGGACATTCATGCTTCTAATCAGACATTTTCTAAACTTTATACTTTAGAAATATTTAGCTTTATGTTGATAGTTTTGTCCCGTTTGTGGGAAATTATAAAACAACTGAAACAATTGAGAAATGATCAGTAGCTACAGCAGGAAACATAAAAGGGAGAAAACGGGCCCAGTCACAGCTTTGTATTGTTATTATTATAATGTCTGCCTATGCTGATGTCTGGATTTGTAGCCTACAGAAATATGAATCCTGCTTAACTCTTCTCCGGAAAGCGAATAAGCGTGTTTTTCAAAATGCTGAACAAGTCAACAATATACATGATGGAGCCGTTTCACCTACAGGAGAATGTAAGACTTTTAATGTCCAAGATACCTGAAAGGGGTATTTGTTCTGGCAGGGGATGAATCCTCCTCTGTTCTTGACGATCTCAACACACCTGATGCGACTCAGCTCGATCGAGCCTCTCCTGCATTTCTTCTGTTGATGAAAATGACATATTGTTTCTATTTTTGTAAACAGATTAAAGCTACAGTGAGTAAGTTAAGGTAGCGCTAGCATGAAGCTCCAAACCAGTCCACTCTGCTCCGCCCTGCTCCACTACAACCTGCTACGCTCCGCCCAGCTCTTCAGATATTTGTTGTTATGAAGTTACAATAAATGAGAATGCAAGAAAACTCACTGATCAGGCAGAAATAATTAATAATCTCTGATTGGTCAGGAGAAGATTTAGAAGCTGCTGCCAGTGCTGGGGCCTATTTCAAGAAGGCGGTTTAACAAACTCAGAGTTCAAACCTGAACTCTGAGTTGACTTACTCAGAGTTGGAAAACTCGGAGTTTTCGGTTTCAGAACAGCTGAAAAGAGTTGGTTTAATCAACTCTGAGTTGTCTGACTCAGAGTTAGGCGCGTGCCACGCGACTATAAAAAGCCCTGAACAATGGAGTGAAGAAATTACGAGTCACCATGGCAACAGGACCAAGCCAAAATAGGTCTGCGTTTTTCCCGACAGAAATGGATGTGCTACTACAAGCATATAGTGAGTACGAGCCCATATTTCGTAAAAAAAAAACAAAAAAACAACACGGCTGCAGTGGCGAAAGAGAAAGAGTTAGCTTGGGGGAAAATAGCTGCCCGAGTCAATGGGTACGTTTACATTTTAATCATACAGTGTTCGGTGTAAGTAATTACTAAATAATGTTAGTAATGTTATTATTTGTCACTTGTAAAGTAAGGAATGGTTCTTAATTCTTCAATAATTGAATGAGTAACTTCAGTAATTGCATAAAATACCGATTTTTGTACGAATTAAAAGTGCAGTTTTATGTCTACCCTTTCTTAAAATTCCTATTGTGGTTGATATGGGATTTGTAAAGTAATGATTAATAAATAATCCAGTACGTTTTATGGAGAGTAATTATTACATTAATCAAAATACTTTTTTAAAATTGACCCAACACTGATGTAATAATATAAGAATTGAATTTTAATTTTCATGTAGGTGCATTGATGGGAATATGTGTGCCATCAATGCATCCAAGCGCATTAGGAAATCCTGAAGGGGATTCTAATTATTAGTTTATTTCCAGAGGTCACATCAAGATGTTATTAACTGATCATCATTTTTCAGATTAGCCTTACTGAAACGAATTCAATACCACTAACCTGCAATCCTGTGAAACTCCTCTTTAATGGCTCTGAGGGGTTTGTGCCCAGGAAACACAACAAAAATTCACAGAAAGCGCTTGAGGGTGAGGCACACTTTCCGAACTATTCTACATACTGTGGCCTTACTAATGTGCTCTGCATCCCCGATGTTATAAAGAAAACTGCCGTTTGCAACAAATTGTAACGCAACACAAAGCATCTGCTCGGATGTAAGAGCACGGCCACGATGGGTGATGTGTCTGATGTATGGGTGGATAAGATTATTGATATATGTTATGGACGCTCTAGAAAAACGGTACCGCTCAAATAAAGATACATGGGGATATGACAAAAAATCAACTCGTGGCCTCAATATCCTCTCCCGACGTAAATGCAATTCCCTGCGAATTAATACAGCGTCCTCATCTACAGGATCCTCTATGAATGGACATGCCATTTTGGTCTCTGCATGACGGAAACGTGTGCAATCTATGAATGTACTGAAAGATTAAATGAGGTATTAAACACCTTTCACTTTAAAAAGGGGCGGAGACCCGGAGGAAACTCTGAGTTTCCCGAACAAAACCTGCTCGCCAGCAGGTTAGGTTCACAGAGTAAGTTGCCGTAGTAACTGACTCTGAGTTTAGATTACCTCTCTTTGTGAAACGGGTTTAACTTACCCCGCTTCACGGGTTTAAGTTACCTCCATTTCTGAAACCGAAAACTCCGAGTTGCCCTCATTTCGGGGTTAACAAACTCTGAGTTTCGACAAAACCGCCTTCTTGAAATAGGCCCCTGGTCTAGATCATAATATTTGGACTCCTCAGTGAATATGACATCACGGTGGCTCTAATGTTTCTAGTGTGGCTTAACTAGCTAACTAGGTAAATATTTCAAGTGTTAGGTTATTTCTTAGTTAGATAGATATTCAGAGATTTGTTGTCTAGAAATGTTTAGTGGAGACAGGATGTCTAGCTCAGGCTGTTAACTGCTCAGTTTAATTTCATGTGCTTGCAAACTGCATTTAGGCCAAGGTTGCAGGCAAAGAGTTGTTAGTATTAACTGTAATGCTAATCTTAATATTTGTCTTAATGTGTAATGTCATGTCAAATTGTTCTAGATACACACCACAAAAACAACAGCCACACACCTTGACTTTTCCTCATGTTTTGACTAACGTTATGGTCAGCTGCAAGCTGGCATATCAGGTGACGTCACGGTTTGACGCCCTGCGTAGTATGGGCTAGCCCAAAATGATTAAAATTATATAGGTTTCATGGTCCAGGGTCTTTCATCTTCCAAGCTGCCTGCGCGCGGGTTGGTGGTGGGAGAGATCTGGACGTGTGATGTTAATTTTACCTGTGATCCTCTGAATAAACCAGTACGGTTATTTTTTTATAAAATCTAAAGCAGTCTACTTCGTCTTATTGTGAGTTCCTGGTTTAAAAGAGCCGGAAGAGGCTTCGTAGAGAAATAGAAGCTTATACAAGTTAACCACGTACAAACAAAAACAATCCAACAGCAGCCTAATACTCCATTAGTTGGCAGATTAAAGAACAGTCACAAAATGTACTAACTGGTTCGTTAAGTTCAACTGTTGCAGTTTTCCCTTCTCCATCCGAGACAGTGAACGTTTTTCCTGTGGGGTGTACCTGACGATGAAAACAATACTTTGTTAGTGGCATTCGTAGTGTAGCCATTATTACTGAAACAACATTTTGTTTTACGCTTTCGACAAGAAACACCAACCTTTTCAACACGTCCAAGGAAGCAGACTGGCTTATTAACATGCTGCAACAGCATATCACAGTTTATTCTTGGTTTTGGAACATCCAGAATACCTGCCATCTTATGCGTCCAGAACAATGCAGACTAACGCGGGAAATGTGTGGCCGTATAGTTTTGTATAACATGTTAGCCCAAGCGGGCGGAGTATGTCAAATTACGTTGAAATCCGCACTAGCGGTGTCATTTCGGCGAAGAAAGAATAAAAATCGAACTAACCCAAGCCTTGTAATGGCACTTCCGTTGTGCTCTAATATTTTAGTCCTCAGAAACATCATTGAAAAGTTCCGACACATGTTGCTGACAACATATTTTGAAGCAGAACCGTATGCAGTTTTTTTTTTGTTTCTGCACGAACATCGATGATATTGGGGTCAGTGACGTCACTATCATGACTTGAAAACACGAATGGTATTGTCCGGAAACCGAATAAAGATTAAATAGGTTATATTCTTCCGTGTTCTGTAGCCAGTTTAGTGAAACTAACATTTAGCAGAGTCATACTGAGTTCAAACTAACAATCACATTGAATAAAACAATATGGAGCCAGGAACAAACTTGCCTGTTGTGTGAACTTCGTGACTGCACAACTAAAGTAAGACCGTAATTATCGCTTTTCAGAAGCATCGTTTTTGTGTTGACTTTTAAAAGCCGTTAAAGCCACGACTAAACGCGTTTTCTGGTGTCCTATTAGACAGTTGAAACCAGTGCTGTGCACCGCCGTTAACCTATACAACGAAGTGACACGTATCCCGTTTTGTTTATGAAAACATCAGTCACTGTTGGTGTACATGCCTCTATAAATCGGGTCCATAAACCCGAGTGCCATTCGATATATATCAGCCAAACCTAGATTATATCAGAACTGAATTTACCCGCTGCATTTTCTGTCTAGAAAGGGATCTTGTTTTCCCCTATAATCCTATGTGTCTTTATTGAAGAACTGCTTTCAAATTTGTTGTTGGGTTTTAGAACAGACCTAAGTTATAAATAAAGTGATATGTCTTCAAATAGTTCAAGTAGACTTCATGCTTAAAATTGTACTTTACTGTTGGTCTAACTTGTAATTTCTTCTTTTTACAGAGGATAATCATGTGGAGTTTTTTGGGACTGCGTAAAGACTCAAAGAAGTCGCCAACCGAGAAGGAAGTAGATGGAGGCTTTGTCGTCATTGGTGAGAAGCATAAGCTCATTACAGTTAATCTAATGTTTTTGTATTTAGAATAACACCCTTGTTTGGTTGTTTAATTTGCTTTGCATGCATTTAAAGCACATAGTAGTAGAGAGCAGTGGGAACCATAGTAAGTTTAGTATGTTGGACGGTTGGTTCGATGTATTATAGCTTACAGGTTGGCTCCTAATTATCATGATACATAGCAGAGTCACTCAATATTACAGGTGACATGCATAATAAATATGTACAACACATCAAATCCAATGGACAACTTGCACATGGTTTTACACTGCTATTCATTATTCACAATGCTCTCAGCTTATTGAGGTCATGTCCTTGAGGGGATACAAAAGGAAGTTAAGACAGGGGTTTGGCTTGCTTCACTGTTGTGCTGCCTGTCTCATGATCATCCTGAAACCTGAAATACCATACATTTCACAATTTCCTCAGTGTGTGTGACCTGTGTTTTGCAGCATAGTGGATACAGTTTTCTAGTGTTAATTTTTTGTTGACCTTGAGTAGTTTTGTACAATTTGATTCTAATAGGCTTTAGTTACTTTTAGTTACTTTTCAGTTCTTCATTGTCTTTTAATTACTTTTCATACCTTTACTTTCCTTGCTTATACATGTTAAAACTGTATTGATGATTGTCCAGAACTACTGAGCTTTGGTTACTTTAATACATTTATTTCCTTGCATATATATCTTCCGATTGTATTGATGAGTGTCAAGTGATACTGAAATAGAAATTGACTACTTAAACTTCTGTGTAGACATAGTGTTTGTATTCACGAGGTCCTGCTTTGTCCTATAATAGGATTGCACAGATAGGGGGTCTACAGTGCAGATGACCCATTGTTCAGTTGCCGCCTGGAAAATCACATCACAACAGACACACACCTGGATTTGATTTCATTTCAGCAGGCAGGAGTTAACCTACTCATGCCAAATGACCAATAGGATTACAAAGTGTTGAGTATAGTACCTCTGTCCAGGGCGGAGCACCCCAAGAAGATAAATGTATTGTTAAAACATAGTTCATGGTTCAGATGACGGATCTCCTGCGGAAGCTCTGTCCCTCTGATCCCAGCGCTATAAGGCCTACCTTTGCTCAGACATTCAGTAAACTTTCTGTTGATTTTAAACGGTCCTCTCCTGTCTTCACTTCTCGTGCTTCCAACAAAATAATTGGGTTAATTTCTAACAGTTTGACAGAAACATTGAGTCAGGGTCACCTCACCCATGGTCCTGATCAGTGTATGGAGATTTAAATGTTACTTCCATATTTAGCCACCTGTTAACACATGACCTACTTTCCAAATTTTGTCTTACCAGCATGAGTATCTCCATAACAGCTATGCAAAATGTTTAGCTCTTCAAGGACATTCATGCTTCTATTTAGAATTTTTGTAAACTTCATACTTTAGAAATATTTTGCTTTATTTTGAAAGTTTTGCTCCATTCAAATGAATGGGAAAATTCTACTTCAGCGTAATTTCAGCTCTTTTAGCTATCAAAATGTTCAGCTCTTCAAGGACATTGATGCTTCTATTCAGAAGTTTTCTAAACTTCATGTTTTTAAAATATTTAGCTTTATTTTGAAAATCTTGCCCCATTCAAATGAATGGGAAAATTCTACTTCAGCATACTTTCAGCTATCAGAATGTTGAACCTTTCAAGGACATTTGTGCTTCTGTTCAGAATTTTTCTAAACTTCATACTTTTGAAATATTTAGCTTTATTTTGAAAAATCCTGCCCCATTCAAATGAATGGGGAAATTCAACCTCAGCATACTCTCAGCTATTTCAGGTATCAAAATGTTGAGCTCTTCAAGGACATTCATGCTTCTCTTCACTCTTCAGACGTTTTTTCAAATTCATACTTTTGAAATATTTAGCTTTATTTTGAAAATCTTGCTCCATTCAAATGACTGGGAAAATTCTACTTCAGCATAATTTCAGCTATCAAAATGTTAATTTCTTCAAGAAAATTCATGCTTCTATTCAGAATTTTTTAAAACTTTATACTTTTGAAATATTTAGCTTTATTTTGAAAATCTTGC